GATTCATTACACACCAGGCCAAATTCTCAGAGCAGGGCCTGGAGAGACTTGGACGTGAAAGGCCCAGTCCCCTTGCCCCTCAAGTGACCCTGCCCTGAACCTCATGATCAAGTGTTGGCCTTCCTGCCCTGTCAGCAGTCCGGCTGTAAAAGGACCCTCTGCAAACAATGCAGCCCGGCACTCAGAGCTGCACTTGGGCCACTTCAAACAGGTCTGTGGGGGCCACCGGCCTGAAGGTGGCCAGAGACCAACCCAGACTTGAGGGGAGGAAGAAAACCACCTCAAGCCTGGACAAGGCTGTCTCCAAATATTTACCTGGTGGTTGGCGTCAGGAAAAGCACCCACAGGAAACCCTGCTGCCTCAGCAGCGCTTTGAATTACCCAAGTCCACAGACCCACTATAGCCCCAGCAATGCCGTAGGTCCTTCCAAACTCCGGGGCCTCTGGCTGAGACATGGGGTGTGCACAGCCAGCCTGCTACTCAATCTCTTCATCAGAGAGGGGGCAGGAGCTTGGGGAGCAGACCCTGGTGCCTTCCCCGCTTCATTACTCCAGGAACAGAGGGTCTGGCCTTCCTCACAGGACATGGCTCCAAAACCCCACTCACTCAGGACACTGTTGTTGAGTACCTACTGCCTTGATAGGTGAGTGACACAAATATATCCCTCACAGTCCAGCAGTAGAGATAGAGTTGAATCAAAAAAACAAATGAAGCGGTGTGTGGCAGCTGAGGCAGGAGGACCACCTAAGCTCAGGAGTTAGAGACCAGCCTAGGCAACAGAGTAAGAACATATCTCAAAGTAAATACATACACACATAAATAAATGAGACAATGATCAATGGTGATAAAGAGATAAGGAGGAAAAACACCTGTATGTGATGAGGATTCTCATGAGGGGTGAGGCTCAGGGGACTGGGGAGCCACATCATACTGTAGGTCAGACTTAAAGGACAGGGAACTCAGCTCTGTGAGGAATGGAAGAAAATGCCCTGGAGGAAAGGAAAAGGCCCTCAGAGAACTGAGCAAGAAGGTGGCTGAGAAGGGGTGTGGAGTGGAGGGGGCAAGTGAGGAACCAGAGGGAGGCGGGGCTCCACTCAGTCAGGGCAGCCCCAATAAACAGTTAAAATCTCTTATAAGGGCAATGGGAGATCCACACAGGCTTTACACAGAATGGGGATGACACCATCTGAAATAATCAACACAGCTAGCAAAGCAGCTGTAAGGAAGTGACTTTCCTCGCCTACCTTGTTGGTACCACCCCAGTATTCCTGGCCTGTGCTCTGGCCTCATGAAAGCAAACAGCTCACGTTTTACATTTCTCTCCTCCCCAACCCCATATCTCTGTCTTTCTCTCAGCTGCACAGACAAAATGCTGCCACTGGATAAAAATTAAAAATATTCTGCACACATGGCCAGTGGCACATACTAAACACATTTGGAAATAGTTTGCGTCCAAAGCTGAACTGGTTTGCCCTCAAAGCTGCTTTCTATTAAAATGTTTACATGCACACTCCCCCTACTTCCCGGGGCTATATTCCCATCCCAGACTAACAACAGGCCCATCCAGGGTCCCTAAGAAAGGGAACTTTTTTTTTAGGTTTTTTTTCCGGTACAGAAAGGGAACTTTCAATTCTAGGACAGGAGCACAGGAAGGGACACCAGCCAGGTAGGAAGGATGGACCTGCAGGGGACGCCCCCCCCCTTCTCCAGTGTGGTGGGGGCAGCAGGCTGGGGCCACCCATGAGCCTTCTCCAAATGTTCTCCAGAGTCTCAACACACAGCAGCAAAGTGAGTGCACAAGTGTCTACTCGGCAGAAAGACGCAAAAGAGTTCCTTGGTCACAAGCCCAGAAACATCTCCAGCAACTGCAAGCCAAGCAAATCCTAGCTCATGAAGACCTCAAGAGGGCTCCAAGAGAGAGAAGAAGCGCAGGCTCCGGGCTCCAGCAGTAAAGCTCAGGCAGTGCTCAGCCAGGCACCGTAGGGGCCACCCAGACCAAGCCTAAGCTCATCCACTGTGGGTGCACGCAGCTGCGTTTGCAATTCCAGGGAGAACATCTTGCCCTTGCCAGTCAAGTGTCCACACCTTGGCCAAGGGGAGGTGGGCCCATAACCGATGGTCCAACCTGGCTATCCAATGGGAAAGAGGCAGATCCCTGAAGGAAATGCTGGCTGCTGCTCCCAGAAAAGGAGCTCGGTCACTATCAAGTGACAACAGCAGATGTCCACAGTACCTTCCCCTTTGTTTAAAAGTGTCAAGAAGGCCATATTCAGGAAGAACAATGGCAGTGCCAAAGGAACTCAGGATGCTGGGGCAGAACTGGGCCCAGATGATGAGCCACCTGGTTGGTTGGTCACTGGGCCCATGGACATCATGGGCAGCACACTAGCTTCATCAGATTATCCTTATATGGCCCCAGGGAGGCTGAGCCACAGCCTCACATGACAAGGTGCCGCTGGGAATGATTGTCCTTCCCAGATTCCAATTTTTTTGGTTCCTGTTTTGTCTTCTCTGAGTTTCCCTGATCTGTTTGTTTGGTGCTATCCCTGTCCCTCAGATGACACAATGCCAGGCAAGCTCACACTCCATCTGCTGCCTACCGCACACATGACCTCACATGCTGAGTGAATCGGTGCTAGGACTTGTTAGCCTATGTGCCGGCTCCTTCCAAACCAAGCCTTCTGACAAGCCAGTCTCCCCTCAAACTGACTCTCATAAAAACAAGGGGACAAAAGAGAAAGGGCTGGAAGAGACGCTTTTCTCTCCCTACTTCTGACTATCAGCAAAAAAGAAAAAAAAAGAGCAGTTTAGTCAGTGGAAACTGGGCTTTTGTGTGGTTGTCTGCAATTTAATATCCTTTCATTTCCGATTCCATTTCAAAAAGCCACATCGTTCAATTCTAAATTTTCAAGGACACGTTTTTGGGGCATTTGCAACACATGTCAAAGAGCATGCTGCTGGCTACACAGCTCGACTCCCAGGGACAACAGGAGCTAGCTCCAAAACCCTCTGCGCGCCTCCTCTACTGGGATCCTCCACTTCTTGCCTGGATATGCCAGGGATGACTTACACTCGAGCTTGTCTCCCTTTTAGCTCAAAATCTGAACAGAATATCCCTGGGCCAGAAGCAGTTGCACGGTATACACCCACACATTCCAAACACGGAATTATTCTGTGGGGAAAGCGCACGTACTGTGCAGGCCAGAGCCCTGCCTACAGATGACCCTGGCCCCCATGCTGGCTGCCATTCAAGGGCCCAGTGAAGCTCAAAGTCCCACGTGTGGCCACAGGCTGTGCTATTCTGGCAGCCTCCTTCCGGTTAGACTACCACATCCTGCACACCTTTCTGGCAGCATTCCCAAACAGATGCGCCAATCTTGTACAGCCTATTTAAGGCTGAGCTGTCCTGTTACAAGCAGAGGCCAGACTGCATCGCTGTGAATGGACCTGGGTACTTAGGGAACTGCGCCTTGGCTGTCTTATGAGGCTGGGGTAATTAGGTGCAGCCTCCAACAGGCTACTTAGGTTCTCTGAGCCCTATTTCTTCCTCCACAGAATGGACATAAAATAGCTATCTCACAGATGATTAGAGATGAAGGCAGAGCCTGACCCAACAATCTTGTGACCAATAAATACATTTTGAAAGAGGAGTTGTTGCTAGAAATTCCACAGTTACCAAACAGATGTAACACACAATTGTGACTTCACAAAGAGCTCTCAAGCCTCTTCAGCCTGTGTCTGGCTATACAGCCTCAGACAGGTAAAAGAAATATGCTGTTGGAAGAGTATACGTGTTTTAGCCATGTTTTTCTAAAAGGCTGGCTCTGAAGGATGGGGCAGCAGCCTGGTGCTGTTAAAAAAAAAAATCCAGAATCCTATTGCCCAAATAGTACACAGAGCTATTTCCACTGACAGCCAAAGAGCCTGTCAAATGCTACACCTGTTTGCCTGCAAGGCTGACAGTGAGGCAAAGCAAGCAGAGAGCTGATGAAGAGACCTTCCTGACTCTCAGTCCAGGGTCTTTTCCTGGCCTGGCAATAAGATCCCAGCTAACCTGATTCTCCCTCCGCTCGAAGTCTAGAAAACTTCAAGAAGCTACAAATAGCAATCTTAACACACCTCCCACAGAACAAACTCACCTCTGTACTCAACATGACAAGCAGGAACAATTTTTCAGGATCCATATGAACTGGATTTAATTTTGTATAGGAAGACTTTGCTAAACAAAAGCATTTTCTTTTCTCTTATAATATTGAGGATTGAAACCAGAGCCTGAGCTACATCCCTACCCCTGAAAGCATTTTTCAAATACAACATTTCCCAAACTGAGCTATTTCTCAGTTGTACCCTCCACACACACACAAAGTTGTATACTCGAGAATTATAACTGGAGAAAACACTACAGTCTACTGGGAAGTTTTATAGAGAAGTCCATGAGCTTTATTTTAATTCAAGCATTTCCAAAACTTTCTGAACTACAAACATCTCTAGCAACCCTACAAAGACTCTAATTTAGTAGACCTGGTTTGTTTTCAAAGCAACTGTTTACATAACTAGGATGGCTCATTCTGAAACTCAGCACATTCTGTATCTGTGCGTATGACCCGTGATGTATCTGTGGAAATGAACACAAATTTTAACAAATGCTTCCACATTAGGAGTGGGTGAAAGATTCAATTTTTCACTATACAAACATGTTACTTTATTTTATAAATGGGTAAGATGCTATTTTTAAACCTTTTGGTCAGACAGCAAGCTTCTTCTAGAAGCTTCTTTGAGCCCCTTCCCTCCCTTACCCAGTCCCTCTTGGGCACAGACCTGATAGTCTAGGTGCTGCAGCACTCCCCTTGGGCACCCTAGGAAATCAGAGGGTTCAGGTCCCTCTGCCATCTTTGGGTCATGCCAAGAGTTTGGCTGGGGTGCCTGAGAACTCAGTTCAGTAGTTGGCTAGTGGTGGGCTTCCCACACACTTGGAAGACACCAGGTGCTGCTCACTCACCTGGTGGTCAATTTTGATAAGTGCAATGTCTGCCTTTTCATCCACATCCTTGATTTTGGCTTCATGGATGGTTCCATTCTTCAGCTCAACTTTGACCCGGTGCTTGTTGGTTACTACATGGGCATTCGTCACAATCAGTCCATCTTCTGACACGATGAACCCAGACCCACTAGCCACTGGAACTTCCCTCTTAGAAAAAGGCAGCCTGGAACCCAAAGGACAGCACAGTTAAGCCTGAAACACCTTACAATGAAACTTCAACACCTGGGAGTAATGTTCTGCAGGAGCATTATTTCCTTATGTGCTGGGTCTAACATTTAAAAAACTAAACATTACGTCAATTTTGGCAATGCATTAAAAAATTCCACTTGAAATATTCTTACAGATTCTTCAGAGCCAAAAGTTCTTAAAACATCTGAAGGGTCAAGAATGTAGATTTAAGTAGTCAGATAGAAAAATATCCTAAGGGAGAAATCTTTTTCGTGATAAAGGAATCTATTCAGTGACACTTCGACACTTTAATATGACTCAAAAAAATAGTACTGATGTTTTGCTAATGAGGGCATTTACCACTAAAAGCTGCATAAGTTACAGGAAAAAAGGAAGCCCCTCTTTACTTGCGAAACAACTCGATGTGAACCACAGCAGGAGCAATCTTCTCCACGACGTCAGCAATAAAGTTATATTTATGGCGCAAACTGTTAGGATCTTCCTGCCCTGAGAACCAAAGCAAAGAACAGATATTTAATGATACTGACTTCTGTACTGCAGTGACCTGGAGAAAGATACGGGTTAGTGGAGCCAAAATGCACTGCAGCAAAATCATACACACTCACTCACATGTGCGCACATAAACATGCCCACATACATGCATGTATACTCACACACAAATACACTCATACTTGTACAGGCATATTCACACGTGTGTATATGCCTGCACACAAACACACATGTGCACTTACCCACAAACTCACACACACACATGCACACAGTCATATATACGCCCACACCTCCTTCAGGGTGAGGGAAACAACCATTCCCCAGGCTGAGTAATGCTGGGACACGTCCAAGCCCTCTTGTGACCCATCACAGCTGCACAGCCACAGGCTCGGCCAGCAGCTCCAGAGCATCTGTAGATTGTTTCTTGGTTCCTGCCACAACTGTACCACCAGGAACTGTGGTAACTCAACTCAATACCACCGGCCCCAGGGACATCCTGGGACCAGCCTGCTGCTCCCAAGCTTCCCCTGTCGGCAGTGAGGGAGCGTCTACGAACGAAGGGCCCTTTCTGGCCTGGCTCCTCTTCCTAAGCTGCTTTATCTCAGGGCCGCAATCTGATCTCTTTGCATAGCATGATGTTCTCAGGTTCAAAGATCTGCAATTACTAGGGAAAATAAACTAACTTGACAAATTCATGAAAGCATCATTTTATTATTTCTGTTTTCAAAACCACTTTCACATCTACCTCATTTTAATCTTTCCCACTTCCTCTAGAAGGGGAGAATCAGGCATTCTTCCCTTATTTAGGGAAACTGAGGCTCACAGACTTTGAGTAACTTCTTTGTGGACATTAAACCTTAATAAAGACCACAAATAGCAAGAAAATCACCAAATTCACAACTTTCCCTCTTCAATACTGGCCCTACTTCTACGTGTTACCCTCCAGGGTCTCCAAGTAACTGTGATGAACTGTTGCATCTCCCTGAGCACTCCAATGGGAGACTTAAATAGGGGTGGAAACGTTCCAAACACAGATCCTGGCGACATCAACCAGAGACAGCTGTAAACAAACCCCTATGGGCTTCCCGGGTCCAGCTTTCTTAGCAAGAGCCAAGCAGAGGTTTAATTCTGGCAAGGCCAACAACTCTGGAGGGGCATGGCACTCCTGAGACTCTCAAGAGAAGCACAGTGGCTAGAGTCCTGCCAGTAAGGATCATTAACTCACTTCCTCTTCCTGACTTCCCAAAGTAAGAAAGGGAAAATCCACTCCCATCAGGGGTAAAGATGAACACGAGGTTTTGTAGCTCAAATGAAAAGTTAATGCTTTCTCCTAAGCTAGAAAGCGGTTCCAGAGGCTGTCCACCAGGAAAGCTTACAGAGCAGATCTGCCTGGGCACTAAAAGGCCTGAAGTCCATCCTTAGTGTGTGGGGTGGCTTCCACTTCCCGGCCTATAAAATGGGGCTGCTTCCTCCAGGATGAGCTGCAGCACTGATTCCAGCTGACTCTGATCCAGCCTCTGTCCCTTGTTCTCACCCCAGCAGGATGCACAAGACAAAGAGCGCATGGGATTGGGGAATGGGTACAGGGCTCCTCCAGTTCTGCAGATAACCAAAGAGAAAGGAGAGCAGTGCAAGAACAGACAGTGCTGAAAAGCCCATGTGATAGGCCTTAATTGTGCAAGTCAGATGAAAAGGTGACCCCCAACCTCCACTGTCATCACGCGGTGGCCAGCACTCATGGGAGGAAAAAACAGCAAAAACTGAACACAAGGAACTTCAACTGGTAATTGTTCAAAGATGGACAAAATGTCAACCCAAACAAGAAGAAAGGTTTGGCTTCTCTCAATTCAATTTCAGAATGAGGACTTCAAGTGTCTCTAGAAGCAGCCTGCTCGGCATCAGATTCCTGTTCCACTTACAAGGCTTGTCCTCCAAACCAGTGAGAGTTGCTGTGCCCATCTGGTCTCAGATACCCTGGCTGGTCCTGTTTGCTCTGATTTCTTTGTTTTGTTTTTTTGTTTTTTTTCCAGTACCGGGAATCAAACTCACGACCTTGCACTTGCCAGGCAGGCGCTTTGCTGCTAAGCTAAATCCCCAGCCCTTGTTTGCTCTGATTTCAACTGTGGTCAATTGTCCTCCTTGCAGAACAGTCAACCAAGGTGGAGACATCCCATTGGTGGCGGCACACTAGCTGCGTGGCAACTTCACTAAGGAATGGGGAGGATCGACTCTGCAGCAGTCAGACCACTCAGCAAGTAGGAAAATCAAGCATAGACTCTGGCCTCAGGTGTGTGGCCTCAGCTTAGTCCCATGCCTCTATAATATGATGATAAGAGCGCCTACCTCAGTGTGTTTGCTATGTTGACTTTAGGAGCTACTTGGTGGGAAGTGCTAGCCCAGACAAGACTTATAGTTTAGAAAGAAAAACAGGAAAAGGACTGGCAAAGGTGTTGCTCAGAAGGAGGCTGCTGGCAGATACGAGTGCTTCAATACAGCAGCAGGATTACGGAGAGGGAGAGCTGGAGGCACTACCTTGGCAATTTCATCTGGGTCCTGGAGGGTCCTCTTAACAACAGCACCACTATGGCCATCCCTGCAGAGGGACGATCCCAGGGAGGTTACGAGACAGGCCAGTTTTTCTGGCCTTAACCTGCACCTGTGTTCCCCAGTTCACAAGGTTACGCCCCAGGCCACTGCAGAAGGGGTTAGGGTGTTAGGTGATCAGATAATTAGGCTGGAACTGCAGCCCACCTGAGCTCTCACCCTGATGGAGGAGCCAACAGGAGGCAGATCTGGCCTGCTCTCTGCTTTCTTCCCTTAGGCTAGAGCTGATGCAGGGGGTCGGTCATGAGACTGGGAAGTCCCCTGCAAAGTCAAAGCCTAGCCCTTCTAACTGCTCCATTACTGCACAGAACAGAAAACTGAGGGTGGCTGCCATTCAGGAATGGCCCACAGAATGAGGCAAGAGAAAAAAGCAAAGCGTGGAGACCAAGAAACATGAAATCGCTGCTATCTGCAGATGTTCTGATGGCCTTTCTAGAAAATGACTGAGAATCTACAAATACAGTACTACGATAAGCGAGTTTATCAGCGTCACACTATAATGTAACAGCACCAAAGAATGTTACTTAGGGAACTACTTACAAAGCATGTACAAGAACTGTACACTGACAGGGTCAAAGAACTGCCCAAATAAATTAAAGACAACCTAAATAAAGGCAGAGATATCGCACTTGTTGCTTAAACACTCACTACTGTTGAACTATGAGTTCTCCACAAACTGACCTGTAGATTAAAGTCTTCATAAAAAAATCTCAGCAGGAATTTTTATAGAAATTGGTCATCTATTTCTAAAATTTACATGGAAAGCACAGAACCTTGAACATCCAAAATAATTCTCAGAAAGAAAAAACTGACATACTATGGTGTTTCATATTTATTTATTTATTTACTTATTTATTTATTTTTGGCTTTTTGAGACAAGGTCTCGCTATGCAGTTCAGGCTGGCCTTGAGCTTGCTTTGTAGCCCAGGCTGGTCTCAAACTCACAATACTCCTCTTGCCTCAGCCTCCCAAGTGCTGGGATTACAGGCATGTGCCACCATGCTAGGCTGGTATTTCATGTTTAAACAAAAATTCTGTAATAACTAGGATTAGTAGAAGGATGAGTTACTACAATTTAGAGAAGATTTTCCTCTCACCTAACGATCACTTATCATTACTGATTTCTGACACAACTGGCACATTAAGTATAGCCAACATTTCCTATTGCTTTATAAGTTTAAAGTTGCTAGGATTCCATCCCAAGATAATAAACGATTCATTTCTCCTCTTTATAAACAAACACACGACTTCATAAATATGGCTTGCTTGGATCCCATCATCACTGGGGATTTACAGGTAATACTTCTGAACTATTTCAACAACTGCCTTCCAGAAGAAAGGAAACATACAACATGGAGAAGTTTCACCAATTACGATCCATTATGGAGTATTTACCAAGAACAACAAGCCACTAAGCTCAGCCATTGCTCAGCATCCGTGGAGGACTGGCTACAGGACCCTCTACACATAGCTCGAGTCCTTTATATAAAAGGGCACAGTATTTGCATGGAATTTACACAATCCTCTCATATCCTGTAAATCATCTCGAGATCATTTATAATACCTAACACAATGCAAATGTTATGTAAAGAGTTTTATACTGTACTGCTTAGGGAACAGTGACAACAGTCTGTGCATGTTCAGTATTGAAGCCATTTTCTTTTACATATTTTACATTACTTTAATATATATTACATGTGCTATATCAAAGGCATTTTCAGTCTGCAGTTGGTTGACTCCATGGATGAGCAACCTGTAAATACACAGCACTGTCTATATCTGACATACATTTAGCATATTTCAGAAGAACTACTGCAGTGAAGATGAAAATCACAAGGTAGCAGGAACCAAAGGACAGGTGTTTCTCTCAAAAGCATAAACACAAAACTGGGTTGTTTTACATCATCAAAATATGCGTTTCTTTCATCTTTAAGGGGAAAATGTCAGGTAAGGATTAGAACTGAGGCAGGAAGAAGAGAACAGTCAGCCCTACTGTCCTAACGCCATGCTCTTCGGCACAGGCCCCACAGCAGCACAGAACACCGCAGCAGACACAAGCTCCATCACCTTCTCTGGGGAAACACAACAGCACCCATACTCACTGGACATCTTGTAAACTAGCTCCAGTTTCCCGTTTCGAAGCCAGATGGCATGCCATTCCTTTGGATGATCCCATACCTTTGTGAAGCTGCATTTCTGGATGCTGCTGTGACAAAGTGGACATACTGCTCAAAATCAACACTGAACTAGAAATGGGGGTGACAGTGTTCAAGAATTCAAAGGTCAGTTAGCACCCAACGGGCACACACATCGCACCCATAGGCAGTCGTGGTTATTGGAAAATGAAGTTCAATTTTTTTCTTCCTGTTTCAAAATACTAAGTTTTGGGACCT